ACATTATTACAGAAAGAAAGAAAACACAATATCTTAAATTATAAGCTAATAATATCTAGTGACAAATGTCTCATGACCAGATAAAATCAGTTATGCCGTTCAGAGGGTTAAAAGATTTTTTATTTCACTCTATCTAATAGTGCAAGAAGTAAAACTATGAGATTTTTAATTTGTTCGTTAAATGAAGATATCGCAGAAAAACTGTTTAAGCATTACATTAGAATCCAAACTGAATTTTCAAAAAACTGCCTCACCACATTGCATTTTCATCCATAAACACATGCATACAAAATTTGAACTTGATAGTTGATTAGGAAGTAGGTTAAAAATTTATGACAAACTTTTGACCTTGCCACAAAGACCATGAATGAATGAAATAAAATCTTATAAATAACATCATTACTAAAAGCCCACACTGCTGCAAATAAATAGTATGGAATCACTGCACAAAGCAAACAATAAAATAGATGAATAAATTTAAAAGCATTACTCTGTCTTACGGAGAGCAGAACTAAAATGCTAATCTATTGTAAACCAGAAGTAAATTAATAATAAGCAAATAAAATGTCTCGAAAGCGCGATTTAGAATATGTATTAGATTTATATATAGCATTGTTCTAATATAGGTATTTTGACACAAAAACAGACTTTTTTCTGAAATCACATGCCATTCCCCCCCCCCCCCACCCCCCCATATTTCGATTCTTTGAAATAAATTTATGCCAAACAGCCAAATTCTGTAAAAATCGCACGAGTAGTTTTTTTAAAAAAATTAGCTTTCAAAATTTTAGCTCCTCAATCTTAATTGAATTTGGTATATATTTATTATTCTCTCCTTTTTTATTAAACTTATTTCATTCTTCCTTTCACATTCTGAAATTTAGGTTTATTCCAAATAAAATTTTGCCCATTTCTTATGATTTATTTTTTAAATTAAATTGTATTTTTTAAATAATTTTATAAATATTTTGAAAAAAATTTTGAATTATAAACCCATAAAATTTTTAACATCATCTTAAAGTAGATGTATTTCTAAGCATATCCGCAAACAATTGCAGATTTTTATTCAAAATTTCTGAAGATATAGACATGGATTTATATACTAGCATGTTTTGAAATTTGCCATATTTGTTGAAAGTGATAATAACATCAAATGTGGTTTAGGTGCTTTGTTAAAATTATTTGAAAGTTGGAATTTTTATCCGCTCATGCACAATGTAAAAGGTATTAACGATGCGACTTTTTTCTGCTCCTGTACAATGGAAGGGAAAGGAAAATATGTTGCCATATTTTAAGAAGTTCGCCAAGTGAATTAATCTTGGCATACACTGAAAAAGAATCGCACCAAGATAAATTCTTGAATTTCTCCGTAAATTTTGCACCAAATTTTACAAAATTTAACCGTCTGAATACTACACTGTGCAAAAGCGCTGCGTACATTTGTTTTGAAAATCGCGACGCAGATAGTTATTTTAGAATGTACTCGTGTTACAAAGTACGTGTGAGTTCACACTATGTACGTTCCCACCCACGGAGCAACAAAGACACACTGAAACTCACAGCGCGAAAGCGCTGCGTTGTGGTTTTCGAGACAAAAAAACGCAGCACTTAGTAGTCATACAGTTAATATTTAAACATAATTTGAGTCACAGAATCAAAATACGGCAAAAAAAAAAAAAAAAAAAAAAAAAAAAAAAAAAACTAGTTATTTTAGAAAAAAGTCTGATTTGGGGTCAAAATACATATATTAAAACAATGCTATATATAAATCTAATATATATCCGAAGTCGCGCTTTTGAGCCATGAAAAACGCAAGTTGAGTTTTGTCAATCGCCGCAGTAGAATGGGAGATATAGAACTGCCCCCCCTTTTTTTTGAACAGTCTACACATAAAAGTATAATGTATAAAAAACAAGTAATAAATTCAAAACACATGCAGATATAAACCCAGCTAAATGTGCAGCACAAATAATCACAGGTAGAAAGAAATGCTTTTAGAGCTTTTACAAATAGCACGCAGTAAGATTCGATGTAAAATACTTATCAAGCAATAATTATTGCCATATCATTCAACTATTAAACATCAATTCATATTATAGTAAAACTTTATGTAATATTTTGAAACTTAGTTCATAGCAGCATGGACGAAGACTTAAATATGTAAAATTTCTTACTTTTTTCCTATGATTTTCACATTTTTAGTACCTTTGATCTACAAACAACAAATTTTGGCAATGCAACAATACTGTTTTGTTATGTGCAGCCTTACTTCATACATTATACCCACTTATTTAACATTAGATCATTTAAGGATATCAAATAAAGGAATAAATAACTCTTGTGTCCCCTCCAATGGTGGGCTCTAGTCGTTTACAGACTTTGACCACTAGAAAAGCAAGCAGTGGTGGTCTCTTTATTATGGAGTCATGTAATAGGTGGCAATAATAATATTGCTTCCTATGAAGGGATGGGGCCCACCAGCGGCCGAGCGGTAAAGTCGCTGAACTGGTAGTTCGGTCCGAGGTTCGAATCCCGCGAACGGGCTGGCTGCATGGGCGTTTTCGTGGTTTTCCTCATGTGTAACGTGTATACGAGCCAGTTTCCCTTAGAAAGTCCTCCACGAAGGCATCCCTCCCCCTTAGGCAGGTAGCCCTAGTGTGCTTTGCCCTAATTAAATACACCAACACCACACCACCTATGAAGGGATGATCAATTTACATCCGTGCTATCTCTAGGTTTCCAACCTGGGCTCTTCATTATGGCAATCAGAGTCACTGACCACTTTTCCGGTCTGGGCGACCGCTCTGGTTGTGTTAAGGGTAAAGTTTGAATCGAATAGCTGATAATTCTTAAACTAAGATTCAATTTTTGTATGGACTGTAAATAGGGAAACCTTTTCCAATCTGTTAAAATGATCTGAAGGGGGGGAGGGAAGAGGTTACAGCTGATTCTATACATTCAAAAAGAATGATGTTTGTTGAAGAAATCCTTCAGATAATCCCGAAAAATTATTATTAACTAAGAAGCTTTTGATAGACAAGGACAAAGTACCTGACAAAATTTGGCAGCATTTTGAAATTTTGGAGTGCCACGAAATACTGCTGTTCTACAAATTACAGTTACATTTACTCATTTATAAACCACATTCGCATTGCTTTAGCAAATAATTATTTTAACAAAATGTATTTTTGAATAAGAGAATACAAATGCATTTTTTAAAATTGTTTTACTTCAAATAATTTCACTGCTTTCTCAAAAATGCATCCTTAGTGTTTTACCATTCCTGCACCGAGTTTCTTGAAGTAATATACTCAAACTGTTTACACTTTTACTGATATAATGGATGGAAAAAATGGAAATGGCTTATTTTCAAATACATCACTTTCAACAGTATTATTATTTTTAAATATATTTTGAACAAAATACAATTCAGTTTCTATTTTAAATCTTTTACTTTCATTTAATTATATAAAAAATAATGTACACTGTAATAATAAAGAGCTGCAAATTCTTTAATTTCATTAAAATTATAAATTTTAGACTACTAAATTATTTTACAGTTCGATAAAGGAAAATGCACGATGAAAATTAATAGCACAATATTTTCTGAAATATTTTTTAGCTAACATTTTGAATCATTTGTTCATTTCCAATGAAATTGTTTCATATAGCACAAATTTAAGTTAAAATATCAATTACGACACAGATATTTTATAGTCACCCTTTTTGAACACAATAACACTGAGATCAATTATTTATAGTATAAAACACACATTTGGTTTTACAAAAGTTTAAAGACCTGGAGATCACTAGGCTTTTAGGCTTGATGATTCAACATTTGCTTTCATTAGCACTTTGATCGAGCTAGTTTCAGCTAAGCAAAGTTTGTTTACATGGTGTTTGAGTTCACAAATAGTCAATCTGTATTACACATAATGATCCTCATCAGACTGATGAAAAAGGAAGTTCTATGAAATGACTACCTATTTAGAGAACAATCAGACATAACTGTCTCTTATATGGGGGGGAGGAAATGCAAACATGGGTCAAACTCCAATTTTACCTTGCAATGCACAATATTTGTAATTTTGATCACTGTGAATTTTAAGTCTTTAAAATCCCATAAAAGTATTTCTTTCATCACATTTGATTACCCCAATTAGAATAAAAAGTAGAATTTTCTCTATTGTAGAAGATGTAGAAGTATTGTAGAAGATGTATAAAACTATAAGTATGCAGAAATCCTTTAGAACTATCATACAAGACAGCTCTCGTCTCAATCAATTGAGAGAAAAAGAGAGAATGAATATTCAAGGAATTTTCTGTTTTTAGTCTCAATTTTCTTTCTTTATTGAAAATTTAACTAATATACAAAGATACATTGAATTCCTTTCCCATATACTAATAATATATAATAAATTTTATTTACTGTTACTAATTCACTACTAATACCACGCTGATAAACACACAGAATTCTAAAATCCAACTTCCTTGGTCTTTCTCATTTGACAATGTGCTAGTGTTACATCTACATGTGAGGTGCATGTTTTGTGCTAGAATCTAATGAACATGCATAAGCAAAATAATTTTAATGATAGAATCCTTTGATTTAACATACTGAACAAGATCCAATTAACCTGTTCAAAAATAAACTATTTACAGAACATGATGTTACTCCAACAAGGACATTTTGTTATTTCCTGATTCAGGAAAAAACTGTGAGCATTATTATGCTTAATACACATTTAGCACAATAAGCATAATGTGCATTCCTGCAAACTGATAAAATAACAGTTTCTCCAATATAAACTGATATATAGCACATAATTTGGATGTAATATATAGATATCATTACCATATATTACATCCAAATTAAGCTTTAAATGCATTTATAGCTTGATAAATTAAAAAAAAGGTCAACTTTTACTGTTTTATTTATAGCAGTATATTTACAAGCTTCAAATGTAAAAATAAAATCAGGAAATAACAGACACACTTACCAAAAAAAACATTCTGTTCTGGTACCCTTTCCTAGATAGCTTCTGAAGGCAACCTTCTCTTAAAAATTCCTGAAAGATTACAATGGCATAATAAGCAATAATAAAAATATTAAAATTTTATGGCAGGACAACACATATATAGTATCAGATATCTGAACTTTGACACATACATGGTATTTTTTCAACAAAAGGAACCAATATAATACAAAAGAAAATTAAAGCAGATTCATTAAATGGGCAAGAGAAAAAGAAATATGAAAAACGATTTACATAGAACTTTAAATGATGAGAAACTGTAAATATAAATTCAGAGTATAACCATAATTTACCTTGTATTAAAAATAATGAACTTAGAGAACAACTAAAATTTTGGTTGCATTCAACCATCAGTTACAGTAAGTTCCTTAAACCATACATAGCTCCTTCTGTTTTAACAAAGCTTTTGGACTGATGAGAGTATAATTTATCCTATAAGAATAACTGATGAGAAAGACTCATTAAGTGATCCTTCCATCCTTACGTAACAAATCACATTATTTCAGATATTATGTACAGTCAAAAGTTGTTAATTCGGACACCCATAATCTGGAATGATCTATAATCCGGACCTCAAAGCTACAAACTTTCTGCGCATGCGTCGCGTTGTGGCATGCGCATAAGACCTTTACGGCTGCGAATATGCTTGTGCGCGTATGCAACGTTTACGATGCGCGTTTAATGTACAATGGACAGTATAAGCTAAGCTAAAATTATCTATTTCAGTTAATGTTGCACATTGCGTTGTTCCTTAATCTTCAAATTGGATCCGGCTTATTATTTTTTGCAGACTATTAGAGCAATTTTATAAAAGTAAGCTTGAACTTTCGATTATGTGAAATAGAATTTCTAATATATATTTATTAATATGTAAAGGATCTACAAAGCGAAAGTATGTTTCGAAGTTCATTAAACAAAAAGTGGAATTGCTGCAAAAAATGGATAAAGGCATATCCTTTATTTATCTAAACTTTAAATTGTTTATCTAATTTAAACTTTGCCAGGGTGTGCAATGAATTGGAAGTTGATCTGTCAGCACTATCCTTATCTTCAGGGCAGATGTTTTTATTTTATTTGGCTTATAATTCCTTATTAAATGTAGTATTTCATCTCGATGTACTCCGTCTTTCATATGATTTAAATCAAATTCCTCGTTATTATAATTCGCTTCCGATAGCGAAGAAAGTGACAGAGGTTATTGAAAACGAAAAAATTTCGATTCATAAATTAGTCAGTAGACACAGCAATTATAGGACTTCAACAGTGGAACTTTGTAACTGAGAAAATTCGAGGGCATAAGAATAGATACGTTTCCGTGTCCGCTAGGGCGGGGGGCGCGGCATTGGGGTCAGAGTAGCGGCTCGTCGCATAGCCTGCTAGGAGGTTGTGCTGTCTCCGTTCAGATACGTGACGGTTTGAAATGTCTGCGTTAATTGAAAATCCCGCGAGATGCGAGGTGCGCTCAGTAATAAGGTTTCTGACTGCAAAAAAAACTGTTAAACCGATAGAAATCTATCGGCAGCTTCGTGGTGAAGTGATATGGGGACAACATTATCACTGAAGGTGGAGTGCGGCAGTGGGTCATAAGATTTCAAAATGGCCGAACCAATGTTCACGACGAAGATCGAAGTGGGAGACCCAGCATAGTGACCGCCGAACTTCTCGAAAAAGTCGATGCTAAAGTCCGTGAAAAAAATCGAAATTTCACAATAACGGAACTTTGTTTGAGTTTTCCACAAATTTCGCGAAGTTTGTTGCACGAAATCATCAGCGAAAAGCTTGGTTACCACAAGTTTTGTGCAAGATGGATTCCAAAAATCTTGACAGAGGACCACAAAAATCAGCGAATGGCTGCAGCGTTGAACTTTTTGGACGCTTACCATAAGGATGGTGACTCTTTACTCGATCGCATCGTTACTGGTGACGAAACATGGGTGAAACATGTGAACTGTGAAACGAAATTGCAATCAATGCAGTGGGGGCACACAAGTTCTCCCCAAAAACCCAAGAAATGCATGCAAACAATGTCGCAGGCGCAGGCGGCCGAATTTTTCGACGAAGGAATTTCCAAGCTCGTACATCGCTACGATAAATGCCTTAATTTGTATGGTGACTATGTAGAAAAGTAGTATTTGAGTGTGGCTTTCATCTGTATATAATAAAATTTGTTTCCTATACTTTGTTTATTTTTTTATTCCAAAACGTAATCTACTTTCTGGATAGCCCTCGTCTATCTGTTTATAGAATTAAAGAGAAAGTATTATCACATAAAACGAAGCAACTTAAACAACTTACATTGAAAGAAATGTTTAATAAAGTAAACAAATAAATATTAAGCTTTTTTTTTTGTAAATTTTGATTTTGTAAATTTTTTTAGATCATAATTGCTCTTTATTTCATAAATTATGGTTTCATATTTTTAATTTTATAATTTCTGCATGCCATCTTACCATATTTAAACTAATGATCTATAATCCGGAATTGCCGAAGTCCCGACGAGTCCGGACTAACGACTTTTGACTGTATTTTCCTTGATTGTTAGATTAATCACTTATTAACAGTGATTGGTAGACTCCCCCCCTTCATTTTCAGTAATAAGTCGCAACTACTGCATAACAAAAATACCTAAGAATGAAATACCTTCTTGATAACTAGATATGATTTTATTCAAAGCACACAGAGTCATCAGAACTCCAAATCAATATTTTCCTAAAATTAGAAGGAAGAAAGGGAAGAGCTCAATGTATATATATATATATTTAAAAAAGGGATTAAAAGCAACTTCATCAATTTTTCATTTTTCTTTAAATCTTAACTATTATAAGTGCATATTATAACTAATACATTAACTGGTAGCATGATGAGCAGACACACAGAAATATCATTCCTGAATGTTGTTTATCACCAGGCAAAAATACTTTAGAAAAGATATATGAGAAAGAGGTGACACTCAACACTTCATTACACAAAACTATAAAAAGAAATTCAAGAAAAACTGAAGCAATGAAAAAAGAAAACTAAAAAATCAGTTGTGTCTTGAAAAGCAAACGAAACACAGGAAGCAAATAAACTACTAAGAGCTGTAATGAGAGTTGTAAATATAACCACTAAAGGAAGCCTGTTGCTCTTAAGGTCTAAGTATAAAGCATACTTTTATAACTATGGAAATAAATGATAAGAACTTTTAAACGGAAAAACAACGAAAAAAGATTAACCATAATACAATAAACCAAAAGCCCTTTAATTAAATACCTACATTATATGCTAAACACACGTACTTAAAAATGTGAGTCATTAATAGACAAAGGTTGAATAATTCCTATGCATAAACTGTTGTTCACTAAATTAGTTTAATGTAGTATAAAGTCTGAGAATTAAACTTGTTCGGACGTCCCAGATTTGGGAATTTTCTTCATTTTAGATGATCAGTTTAAATCTAGTAACATGACATGTCAAAATTATAAAATTAAAAATCTGAAATAATTGCTTATGAAATAATGAAGCATTTATGATCTTAAAGGAATAAAAATTTACTAAATATAGCTCTATTACTTCTTTGCTTTATTAAACATTTCACGCAATGTAAGTTGTTCAAGTTGCTTCCTTTTTTGTACTAATACTTTCTATTTAATTTTATAAACGGATATAATTTCTTACTCAATTACAAAGTTCAAGTCTTATAATTATTACCACATTAAAAATTGCCAGTCGAAATTTTTTCATTCTCAACAACCTCTCTGTCACTTTTTCACTACTAGTAAGGATATTTTCTGGATCTGGAGCCATACTACAGATTTAACTGTCTGTTAAATGATTGATTACTTGACCACTGTTATCACAATGGAATACTTCCAATATATGATTTCCATTTATTGCCAATTCTCCACACTTCTTCACAGATACCATTATGTGAGAAATTTGCTTTTTGTTTGTCATATGCCACAATCTTCACAAATTCACAAAGTCATGAAACTTAGCAAGCATCTGCTACACACTATTGGTTACGTATCATTTGATTGGTGACCAAAGACATTACGTTAAAATTTTTCTTCCTCCTATCGCAAGCTGAGGAAATTAAGCCTGAATTATACTAATTCTGTTATTTAATATACTTATGTCTATTTTCTGTATATGATTAAAGCTTGTATGGATCCTGATGAAATAAATTTCCACATATACCTAAGGGGAAATACTGGAGTGCAACTATTCAATGATAAAATCTAATATTTCACAAATGCAACTGAAAGACAAGAAGCACACAAACCATAACAATCACAATACGCTACTTCTGCAGTGGAAGAGATTAAAAAAATAAATGATTTTAAAAAGTACTGACTAATATTTGATTCCATTAACTCTCTGAGTAGCATGACCACCTTTACCTCATCATAAGATTATTTTGCATTTTGTATATAATATATTGTAATTAAAAATATTTTGCTTTCTTACTTTCTTTAATAATGTAAATGCAGTACAAAGTCCAAATCTGGACATCCATTATCTGGAATGATCTAAAATACGGACCTCAAAGCCACAGACATTTTTTTTTTATTAATGCTTTACACCATGCGCATTTGACTTTTTCTTCCATAATAAAACATGCGAAGATTTTCATTTAAAAATTCCGATTCTTAATTTCACTTAGGCACTAAATAAAATACATATAAATAATATGTGGAAAAACAATCAACTAAGCATAAATTTATGAGATTAATAATTTGGTTCCGTAGCTGAGTATCTACTTGGCATACATCTCAAACCGAAACATCCACCTATTTTATACCCCTGACGCCAACCTGGCGAGTCATTATTTATTATATTTTGCTTTCAACACCGCATGTTTATCAATACAAGAAAGCTTCAGTTATAACTCATTCAGTGATGTTTAAACTTTTCTATATTAGTAACTGAATAACAAGATTATGGCAACCTTTCATACTAACATTACACTTGGCGATAATTATAGATTTTTAAATGCACTAAGAAATGTTGACAAGAAAAAATTCAACAAAAATTTCTTTTCATATGCTAAAAATAAATTTTGTTAATGAAACTCATAGACCAAAAGATTACATTTAGTGCTATTTTAAGTTATGTTGGCATCGAACGGCAGAATTTAGGGAAGACGAAATTTTTGGAATTTGGGGAAGCACTGAGCGGCAAAATTAAGGGATGAGAAGTATTTATGATTTAGGGACAGCACTGTGATCCAAAGTTTACACACAGTGAAAATTTAGAACTTAGGAAAGCACTTTGTAGCAAAATTTAGGACCCTCAGAGACTGCACCAGGTGGTATCGAGCACCGGCCCTATATAAAGTCTTAAATATATGTGGGAGTTTATTTATTCAGGATTCGGAATAGTTTGAAGCATGTGCAAGAAATAAACGTAGGTATAGTAAATAACTAAACTAATACAATTCAGGCTTAATTCAGTACACAATAGGAGCAAGACAAAATTTAACGAAACAATTTGGCTTTCGTCGCCAATCTTGTGATACACAGCCAATAATGTACAATGGACGCTATTAAGTTAGGCTAAAATTATCTTTACTGATTCAAAGGCATTTCAATTAATCTAGCAGACTGCACTGCTTGCTCCCTGATCTTCTAATTTGATCCACCTTATTATTTTTTTGAAGACTTATTACAGCAATTTTATAAAAAACTAAGCTTGAACTTTCGATTATGTCGAAAAGAGTTTCCAATTCTCGAGTTGCCAAAGGATCTATAAAGGAAAACCATGTTTCGATGTCCATTAAACAAAAAGTAGAATTGCTGTCAAAAAATGGATAAAGGCATATCCGTCTCAAAATTATGCGAGGAGTATGGCATTGGAAAGTCCACTGTATATGACACAAGAAAAAAGAAAAATGAACATTTTGAATATTTTGTGGAAGCATCTTAAATAACTTACATTGAAAGAAATGTTTAATAAAGTAAACAAATAAATATTGAGCTTTCTTTTGTAAATTTTGATACCCTTTAGATCATAATTGTTCTTTATTTCATAAATTATGATTTCATATTTTTAATTGTATAATGTCTGTATGCCATCTTACCAGATTTAAATTGATGATCTATTATCTGGAAAAATCCCAAATCCAGAATCGCCGAAGTCCCAATTTCAGACTTTGTACTGTATTACCTTGATGAATGGAAGTTTATAAAAACACAGACTAATGTAATTTATTATAACAATTTAGCTAATAGAAGCTATTTAAATAAAAGTCTTTATGAGCAGATGGATACCAAAAAGCGGTCCCACTCAGATGTTAAAACCATAATTATTTGTCTAAGTTATGTCAACTGTACAATGAGAATTTTAAAGTAATATTTCTAAAATGATACAACAGAAACAGAAAATGCTATAATTAATCATAGCCTTTCTCAGTTATGGAGTTAACAAAAGGAATGCAAAGGAAGATTTAATTTTGAAAAATTAGATAAGCTACACACATTGACCTGTCAAAATATAAAATGATGGACAGCAATAATGCACATATTTCTAATTTGTTTTATATCTGCATCGGAAGAATAAAATATTCATGAGGAAACAGAATTAATGGCAGTTTCCTGATATAACTATATAAATGGCCATACCCATTTAAGCTAAGAGAAGAAATTAGAAGGAAGATTTAATTTTGATAAATGACCCAATGATACTGTGAACATGCAAATTTTCAGTTGGTTCCATTATCTGCATCTTCAAAATTCTGAAATATGATTTTAACCATATGGGAGAAAGTATGCAAAATAATACTGGTAAGAAAAGGGAACTTATCATATGTTTTTTAACTATAAAAATGGTCATACCCGTTTACCAGCAGTTAAATTATCAATTCCATACAAGTCTCTCTGTAGCTCCATGAGCTTTACAAAGTTAGCCTGAAAAAATAATAAATAATACTCATTATAATCAATATACATTATACCATATTAATAAAATCATTTCAATTATTATACAGGGATATTCAAAAAGAAAGAGCAGATTCCAAACATGTACTTCTTCCAGACTACAAAAGATAGAAACACGATTCTAGCGTTAACCCTTTAACGGTTTGACCCGTATTTTCTCGTTCTTTTATGCAGGTCTCTTAATGCTTCATTACGGCTTATTGTTAGTTTAAATGTACGCTCGAAAACGGATCGTCCCGTGTTTTTGTAATAGCGAAAAAAATCTATCAAAAACGACAAGCCCGTATTTTTTACGTCTTCCAATCCCCATTGCCTAAGGGGACAAGGGTCCACGCAACCGCTGACGACAATAGGTAATGGCTGTCATTAGCGCGGGGAGAAGTCTTCTTGATGTTTTAAGATATATAAGCCTTATACTGATTCTAAGGAACCGAATTTATTACCAGTTAAAAAGTGAATGTATATATAAAAGGAATTAAGAGTTTCCGTTTTAGAACAATTATTGAATAAAATAAACAAGTTTTTAAAAATAAACTTTTATTTATGACTCATAAAATTGTTAATGAATTAAAATGAGAAAAATAATGTATTATATAATTTACTCGGAACATGTGATTAAATAATTCTCTTTTAAAAAAAGTTCTACAAATTTATATCATGAATAATAAAAAACGTGCGGCTCTCTTGATAAATTTATAAATCTTGTACTTTCAGCAATGCGATTCGATTATTTGATTTCGTTATTTAAGAATCTATTATACTTGTTATAAAACTGTACATGAATTTTTCAAAGGGGCTCTTATTCCCATTAATCTGTACGACAAATTTTTACACTCTGTAAAGTGATGCAAACTTAAAATCTGTGAGATTTTTAGTTTATTCTTTAAATGGAAATATGTGCAAAAAATTGTTTCAACATTAAATTTTAAGACCTCTAAATCAAATTTTATAAAACTCAGTTTATCCCGCTGTATTTCCATTAGTAAACGGTGCGAGTACAAAATTTGAACTCGGTAGCTTATCGAGAAATAGTCTAAATATTGATGACGAGCTTCTGATTATAGCGACAAACACCGTGATTGAAATGCATACAATTTTTTAAACAAAATTGCCGACTCTTAAATATTATATTTTTAAACATTTTGGAAAGTTCAGTAAATGTTGATATCAGATAACCGTCATTTTTATAACATTCTTGGTATTATAAAGCATGTATGTGACATTCGTACGCAATTCCCGACAGTTATGTTCATTTATCAAAGCGGCTGCTTTTGCGACAAACACAATTATATATTGTGATGCTCATTCTATATTTTCCACTATCTATGATACTCATTATCGATATTTAATTATGTTATATATCTGTATAGAAATATTGGTAAGACTGAGAGAGGTCAACAAAACTTTCACAAGTATTTAATTATTTGAGTTACATAATTACTTATACTTATGCTCAGGAAATTTCGAGTCATTTTGTAAAAATAACATTTTCTTTAAAATTCCTTTTTTGCACACACTTATGCTTAATGACTTTATTGTGATGAATGGAAAGTTATGAAAACTAAAAGCTAAGTATATAATTACAGATCTCACTAATAAATGCTTTACAA